AATTTTGAATGATTTTTTTGCAAAATCATGTGCTTCTTGTTCATAATATCATAAGCAACAATTGATACCGTTTTGACATGAATCGCATGGTCAGAATGACAATTATGAGGCGGGTGCACTCAGTGCACCCGAAAAAGTGGGTGCACCGAATACGCCACCATATATATATATATATATATATATATATGTGTGTGTGTGGGGTGTTCTACGGTACCCAGGGTGAAATCCGGGGTACCGCATACCTTGAGTAAGAAAACGCTATCCATAACTTGAATTTACTGATGTTTCGGACATGATACTGTACTCTTACCCTTAAAGATCAAAATTTAGGTCTTAATTCTCTAAATCTTATACCCCAAAATCAATTTAACTAGAAACAATAATCGACGGCTATGATTCGTCCAAAAATAGGCAAAAAAATAATGCACCATATTAGGGTTTATAGTTTATGATTTAAATAACCCAATAGGCAAAAAAATAATGCACCATATTAGGGTTTATAGTTTATGATTTAAATAATTAGGACCTATGGTTCACTCATTAAGGGTTAGGGTATAGTATCATGCCCAAAAATCATACTAATTCGAGGTCTAGATAGAGTTTTCATACTCAAGGTATGCGGTACCCCGGATTTCACCCGGGGTACCGTAGGAGGCACCATATATGTATATATATATATGTATATATTAATTATTTTAAAAATAAATAAACATATAAATAATAGTAAAGTTAACAATTTAATTCATTAAATACATATATTAAACGTGTTATACGGGACGTCTTGACAATAATACGGGTACAAAAATATTAAACGAATAAAGTACGTACGGGTATATATACGTATATTAAACTGAGTATTTACTAACTATACTTCCTATTTCATGGAAAACTGTTAATAATCTCTTCGCTTTGCCATTTTAACAACTATAGGGTTTGTCCATGAGCAATATATATATTCCGACCAAATTAATCTTCATAGTTTTCCAATTCTAAGAACTTTTTTTTTTTTTTTTGCAATTAACAACCGAAAATGTGGTTGTCATGTGTAGGGATGGCATTGATATATGTATATATGGATAGAGGCTAAAATTTGGGTTGGTTGGTGGTTTCCGTTTGAATCAATGATCAGCTAGCTAGTAACGATGTTGAAAATGACACAAGCTAGCCAGTCAGCAATATAAATTTCTTTAGGAAAGAAAATCAACAACCTTAACTAACTCATCAACAGATCCAAGAGTTTGTAATGCCAGAGAGATTGCTTTGTAACTTTGTCTTCACTTCAGCCCTCTCTACCCTATTAGAGTCGTGCGCAGCGATCCCAGCTGCAATCTATCCGATCTTCTCTTGGAGCCATTCCCTTTGTCTTTCGTTAATTTTGCAGGCAGGAAGCATCGTGTTGCATGCCCAATCTGCATGGTAATGAACTAATGATCAGTTGTCGTGCATGTTCTTCTTCTATTCTCATTGGTGTATGTGGGGAAAGAGAAATTAAGGCTACTTGTCCCCTTTTGACTACTCACCGGTAAAATCTATGGCGTTATTGTTTGTTCAAGAAACAGCACAAGTGCAATAAAACAAACGAACGATTGATAGGTTGTCAGTTGTATTTTGTGAGAAACGCGGATAATTGAGAACAATAATTGGAATTGGGAAGGAAAGAATTAAGTCCAGGGTTTGAGAATCGAGGAGAATTGTGTGAGAATTGGTAGGAAGAAGATAGTTGGGAATTTAGGGATTCAATATTTTCCTTTGCTTACTTCCAAATAACAGGAGTTTGGGACTTAAATAGTTCCTTTCCCAAATAAAATAATAACCACCCCAAAATACCCTCCTAGGCTGAGTCCTCTCCCGGCTTCGCGTTTCTCACATGCATTATTGAATCTCTCCCGACAATTTTAGTTATTGGAACCAATTAATTCTTATTATGGTATCAGAGCCTTTAGTGATCGAGAGGTTTTTTGTTCGAATCTCAATGACCCTCATTTGTCAAGCACATGGTGTCCTGATTGGTGCACTTCAAAACCATACGTAGTGGCTTTCGTTTAAGAGGGTGTGTTAGCAAGTGTTATATGATTTATAATTGAAATTTTCCCAACAATTCGAGTTATTGAGACCAGTTGGTTATGACGTGGAATCAGAGTTGGTTTGATCGTAAGGTCTGTTCATGTCCTCATCTCGCCCTACATGTTCCTCCTCTACGCTTAAGGGCTTTCTGCATATACTAAGAATGTCGTGCAAGAGGACTACATACATGGTTTACAAATGGTAAGAGGGATACTTTTGGTGTCCCACCTGTTTTTTGCTGATGATAATATATTTTTTTGCAGGACAACTGTTACAGAAAGTCAAAAGTTTATAGAAATCCTTGCGGCTCATGCGAGAGAGTTGGAACAACTCATTAACTTCCAAAATATCAGCAATTACTTTTAGTGGCTATGTGAAAATGCATATGAGAATGATTGTGGCGAGAAACCATGGTATGCAATTGGTCTAGAAGCACGACAAATATTTTGGATTGCCAACGATTGTAGGAAGATCGAACAAGGAGGTGTTTCAACTTTCAAGAGCTCAAAGATGAGTCAAAAAAGCTTAACAAATGGAAGGAGAGAGTGCTATCCGTCGCTAGAAGGGAGACATTGATCAAAGCAGTTGTCCAAGCACAGTTCACACATACAATGTATGTTTTTAGAGTTTTAGATGGATATATTAAACAAGGCTCTTAGCTTGATAATGAACTTCTACTGGGGCTAGAAGGGAACTAAAAGCCAGACTCACTTGAAAGTCGTGAGATGATTATGTGCCCTAAGGAAGGTTTGCTAGACTCACTGACCACTTGTGCCCTAAGGAAGCGTGAGCCAGTCTCATATAGGTAATGAAGCGGCACGTTTCATGGCTCACGCTCAAACAAACTGAAATAAAAAAAAAGTGGTCTAGACTCACCGACCACCTGTTTTGTCTTCTTGATAAATTGCTACATGATAATGTAATGAGTTCCGGTAGCTAATCGGGTGGCCCAACCCTCCATCTCTTTTGTGTTTAAGTTAAAAGGATGTGCTTTGAGAATAGAGTTGGGTAGTTTTTGTTTATTGAACAAACTTGATTATTTGTTGGGTAAAGTGTTTTCGCTAGTGGAATTTTGAAATAAAAGGAAAGTCGAATTATCTCATCACTTACGTGAGATAAAAAGCAAGAGTGTGCTTTAGCTGTGTCTATTAATTCTTGGTTGAAAGTACATTAATTTCTATTTGCATTTGGAACAAACAAATCAAGCTGCTTTGGAGTTCATTGTTTCGATCAAACAAACATCTCATTTATTTCTCACCAGTTTGTCATCTCTAGTCTTCTAGGGTTCTAACGAAAAGATCAATCAAAGCTGAGGAGGCCGAGTTTAAGTTAAGCGTCTCGCGCGCGACGCATAAAAGAAGGAGCTCTCCTAGTTTCTTGATGTTTGGTTTGTCTTCTTGCTGTAGACAAACTATGGACAAGTGTCCTAATTTTGAGGATTAGAGATGACGAGGAATGAACCTTTTGATGTTGGATGAAGACTTCATTATTGATGAATTTGTTAAACTAAAAAGACTGTCGTGTACAATTGACATTGTAATGAAAACTATAATTATTATTATATACTAGGTGGCGATCTCGCGCCTTGTCGCGGGGCGGAGATGGCCTATGGGCATGTATTATGTGGCCCGTTATGGTGTTTTGTTATTATTTTTAGCCTAATATTGATTTTTGTTAGCCATTTTTTAGTAATATTAACTTGACAATATCATATTGACTGAGAAGAGATATATGACGGCCAACACCCAATTTTTTTTTAATTTTTTTTTTAAATTTTGGCTAATAACCTAAACCCAAGTAGACTCATTGATTATGGATAGGCTATGGGTGAAGTATATATTGGTTTGGAAGTTTGTAGATGGGTTTGGGTAGGGTATGAATATTTACTTATGTAATCTAAATGTGTATGAGTTGGTTATGAATACCCATTTATTCCAGAGTGTTTTAATTACACATACAAAAATTATATATATTTGTAGAACTTTAACAGTTTAGATACCAAAATGTAATACACAAAAAATTTAGTTACTAAAATGTAATGTTCCATCAATATTTTGAGGACTTATATGCCAAAAAAATAAATTTAGATTATAAATCTAAATATCTATTAAGTTTAGGTATCGAACTATAATTTGCATAATTGATGCTTAATTCCTTTTATGGTGATGTATACAAGATGATAATTATTCACTTTTTATAGAAAAATGAAAACTATTTATTTGATATGTGTAGATACCTAGTCAAACATTCCATGTATAATTGTTGAAAATTCTAGTTCGGGTGAAAAAGAAAAACTCTAGACAGAAGCAAAACAAATACAAATTGGAACTCGCTTAAAATTTCATCCATTCAAATCTCATAGTGGAAAAGTTAGTGGTTTATGGTTCAATTGTTAATTCTATAGACTGTTAGTGAGTCGTGTATGGACCAGTTCATACTTGTTATTAGAATACATAAAAATAATATACTAATTACGGTTAGACGAAGAAGGCAAAGAAAAAATAAAGGGTTATGGAAGGTGATAAAAAAGTGAAACGAAGAGTAAGTAGATGATGGAAAGGTTATGACCAATTCTTTTAGTTGGTCGTCAATACAACAGTCAACCCTTTTCACTGTAGCAATTTATTGACACTTGCTTATGTAGATCTGTCATATTTTGTTACATGTAGTTAGTAGAAGTTTGATATAACATCTTGTATGATATAAACTAAATTTATACTTTTATGTTATAATGGATTGGATTCATAGATTGGTTCAAAAGGATTGGTGGATTGGATTCATGGATTCAAATGAAATCTAAACATTGGACCAGTTTACTTTAAAATTAAATTTGGGGTATCAAAATGTAAAATGTACATTATAGTGACTAATTTGCAATTTGTTTGGCAATAGTAATCAAACTTTAGCTTTATATATAATAATATCCGTGTTTACGTACTTTTCTATTCATACGCTGTCTAGTACTCTACTAAATAGCCCGATGGAAACCAACAAAAATATGGCACCAAATAGGCCAACAGCTGGAGGCATCATCTCTTCATCTTCAAGAGGCAGAGGAAGCCACCCAATCCTCACATCCACTGGTGGCCGAGGAATCTCAATGATACTGGGGAAGATGTTGACTGAGAACAAAGTGGCGGTCGCAAAAGCAGCAGGGGCAGCTCGATATGCCTGGGGAAGCTATGGCGAGGTGAACATCCAGCCTACAGAAACTCCAAACTTATTTATCTTCACATTCAACAAAACGGCGATAAGGGATAAAGTCTGGATGGATAGGCCATGGAGCTTATCAAACACACTCACTGCAATCGAAAAATACAGTGGACGAGGGAAGCCAAAAGACGTACCAATCGTGAAGGTCGCAATGTGGGTTCAAATACATGGCTTGCATCATAATCAAAGGAACGAGCGGAATATGGAGGCCATAGGCTCCTCCTATTTCTTGGAACTCTTTGATCTGGACAGGGCTAGCCTGGATTATGCTGGATACAGAAGATTCCGGAGAATCTTGGTGGAGGTTGATCTCAGGGAGCCAGTTCCAACTGGGTTCGATTTTCCTTTCCTAGATGAAACCACAGGTATAGACTACTGTGATGAGATTACTTTCAAGTATGAAAGGTTGGTAGAATTATGCTACTTCTGCGGCAGAATAGGGCACAACTGGCCCACTTGCTGGAGGATGAATGAAGAGAGGAAGAAGAATGGAGTAGCTCACCTGTCGGAGATCTATAACTCATCGCTCAAAGCAGGAATAGACTCCCCACACAGACCTAGCTCGACCAACTTCAGAGTCAGTGGTGAAAGCAAAGGTAAACATAGCTCGATGGGGGAAAGGGAAGGTTCGAGATCCGGAGGTGGATACCGAAGGGGAGAAGAAGGAGCAGGAGGCTCGGCGGAAGAGATTGGAAACCAATCGGAGAGGAGCCATCGTGTTCCCCCAGGGTTCACGATACCGAGAATTGAAAATCATCAATCGCAGAAGGAGGCTCAGGCTAAACAAGGAAGATTGAAAGGGAGGTTTAGAGTCGAAATGGGGGCGAGGAACCTGGCCAGCGATATGGATAGAGGTTGGAAGAGAGTGACCAGGAGCAACGTCGTCAAACGGAGGAGGTGGAAACTACCCTTACCCTTGGGCCGAGTCAACAGGAGGCACCAGGGCTGCTCTTTAGTGAAATTGGCCAGGTCTCTCTAGCCCATTACTAGCATATTAATGAGGCTTTAGAAGAAGAAACGGGCCGGCAGATGAAGAAAAGAAAGGGAACAAGTCAAGGGAGTGGGGACAGGCCCAGGTCCGATAGTAATGTTGATGATGGGTTTTCTTTCAGCCCAGAAGGTGCTATGTTTTTTGGGGGGCCTGGAGGAAAGAATAGAAAGAAGAAGATGCAGAGGCCAAAGCATCACCAAGGGGAAGCAGTCTGATCAAGTTCCAACAGAACAAGGAAGGGATACAAGGGCAGTGGTGGTTCGTCATAAGCCACCTCATCTGGAATGAGTATAGTAAGTTGGAATTGTAGGGGATTTGGCCCATCCCTTACAAGAAGTTATGCTAAGTGATTGTGTCGTCGCTTGGGCCCCTCTATCATTTTTCTTATGGAAACAAGCAAGAACAAGGAGTTTATGGAGGAACAAAGGAGAAGTCTGAAATGTTTCCCCAATAGAGAGTATGTCGAGCCGGTTAACTCTTCTAGGGGTTTTGCTTTATGGTGGAAGGCGGGTATTCGTATTGAAATTTTAAGTAGCGATAGCTACTATATGGATGTTAGTATAGATATGGGTAGGAAGTTTTTTTGTACTTTTGTTCATGCGCCCTCTACAACTATTAGTAGACGGGCTTTTTGGGAGCATCTGAGCTCTCTTCGGAGTAGTAGGGAAGACATTTGGGTGATTGTAGGGGATTTCAATGCTGCTATTTATGAGAATGAGAAGGAAGGGAGATGTCCCCTTAGGTACGAGAATGTGGAACCATTTAAGAGGTTCATCTTCCACAATGCTCTAATTGACTTGGGCTTCAAAGGGGAACCATTCACTTGGACCAATAAGCGAACAGGCATAAATCTGACAAGAGTCAGATTGGATCGAGTGCTTTGTTCGGCTTCTTGGCGGGCTTTATTTGGGGAAGCAGTGGTTTTTCATGAAAAGATGGTGGACTCTGACCATTTGCCAATCAGATTAGAGCTTCACTTTAAAGGAAGAAGGAACAGAAAGACCCCGTTTAGGTTGGATGAAAGATGGTTGGAGAAAGAGGAATGCAAAGAGATTGTGGCACGAACCTGGGACCCGGGAGGGCAATCGTCAGACCAACTTGGCAAGTGTGAAAGGGAACTTAAGTAATGGTCAAAGGAGTTCCACAAGATCAGTATGCAAAGGGAGAAAGAGATTGTAGATAAACTCGGGAGTCTCCATCTTCCGCCCAGAACGCAAGAGAGTGTGGAGGAAGAGAAGAGACTAACAGACGAACTGACTAAACTTTGGAGGGATGAAGAATCCTTCTGGAATCAATGTTCAAGGGTGAAATGGCTTCAAAAAGGTGATCAAAATAATTCTTTCTTTCACGCTAGCACTATACATAGGAAACATAGGAACAAGATTCTAAGACTGAAAGATGATGGAGGGAACTGGATTGAAGATGAGAATAGGCTCAAAGGCCTCTCTGAGGTATCTTTTAAGGAACTATTTAGAGCTAGAAACCCAATCCAGTTCAATCACCTGTTGGATGGCTTTCAAGAGAAAGTGTCAAATGAGATGAATGAGGAGCTTTGTGTTCCGGTAACCAATGAAGATATTAGGAAAGCGGTTTTTTCTTTGGGAGCTAGGAAAGCCCCAGGTCTAGATGGATTTTCTGGGAGGTTCTACCGGAGGTATTGGGATATTATTGGGGAGACACTTTGAAGAGAAGTTTTAGGGTTCTTTGAGACAGAGGTTATGCCGGAGGGATGGAATGATACCCATATTGTTATGGTCCCTAAGGTTGACAACCCGGAAAGGATCAACCAGTTCCGTCCTATAAGCTGCTGTAATTTTATATATAAAATCATATCAAAGATTAAGGCCACCCGTCTCAAGAAATGGACACCTGATTTGGTCTCGGAGCTCCAAATGGCATTTACTGGGGGTAGGCTGATTCAAGACAATATCATCATCGTGCACGAAGCACTCCACCACTTCAAAAATCACAAACTGGATCGTAGAAGAGATATGATGTTGAAGTTGGATATGAAGAAGGCGTATGATATGGTCGACTGGGAATGTTTAGAAACCCTTCTGATGAAATATGGTTTTGATAACAAGTGGTGCAAATGGGTTAGTGCATGTATCCGCTCAGTCAGGTTCTCTATTCTTTTCAATGGGGAAGCAACAGATTTTTTCAGACCCTCACGTGGAATCAGACAAGGAGACCCGCTATCACCATTCTTGTTTATCCTCATGTATAATGCCCTTACCTTCTTGATTGATAAGACAGTGGAAGAAAACCATCTCAAGGGGATTAGATTGAACGCCAGATGTCCAGTTCTAACCCACTGTCTTTTTGCTGATGATACAGTCATTTTTGGAAAGGCAAACCTCCAGGGAGCGCAAAAAATTCTAGATCTGATAGGGGAGTATGGAGCGATCACAGGACAAGAAGTGAATATCAGCAAATCCTCAGTTTTCTTCAGTGCTAATGTCCCGGATGTCGAAAAAGCTGATATCATTGCCCATATTGGATTTGCTTCATCAAACTGCCACTCGAAATATTTGGGGGTGCCAACGGAGTGGGGTAACTCGAAGAAAGAAACCTTCAACTTCCTTATCCAAAGAATGGAAAAGATGGGGGAAGCTTGGAACAGTCTCCTGCTTTCCCATGGGGGAAAAGAAGTCCTTCTCAAAGCTGTTATCCAAGCTATTCCGTCCTTCATCATGTATCTTTTCTATCTTCCAGTCTCAGTCACCAAGAAAATGGACTCTCTTCTCAGTAACTTCTTTTGGTCGGGATCTATGAAAAAGAGTAGCCTTCACTGGTGTAAGAAAGAGATTTTCTGTGCAGCTAAATCGGAAGGGGGATTGGGTTTTCGGAGTTTCAAGGACTTTAACATGGCACTTTTGGCTAAGCAGGCGTGGAGACTCCTGACTTCCCCTGAGTCCCTGTGGAGTCGCCTTCTTAAAGGGCTTTACTTCCCTATAAGTGATTTTCTCCAAGCAAAAAAGGGGAGTAGACCCTCACGGATTTGGGCTAGCCTCTGGGAGGCAAAGAAAGTCATAAATTTAGGAGCGGTCCGAGTAATTGGCTCGGGAGAGGACAATTGGTTGGATCAAGATCCATGGATTCCAGCTCTGCAAAATTTTACAATCAAGAGCGGCCCTCAAAACCATGAAAAGGTGAAAGAGTAGATTGATCCAGAAGACAGATGCTGGAACTTGGATCTCATCTAGGGCCATGTCTCCATCATGGAAATGGAAGCAATTCTGAAGATCCCCATTGGAGAAGAAGATGCTGATGATTTTTTGGCGTGGAATTTCACGAAAGAGGGAAGTTTCTCAGTGAAATCGACTTACCATGCGATTCATCAAAATGTTTCCAATACCCATCCTAATGGGAACGCGGAGAAATGGAAATGGATTTGGAGCCTTCACCTTCCTCCAAAGCTCAAATTTTTTATCTGGAGATGCTCTAAGAATGGGTTGGCAACAAAGGAGAGACTTCTTCATCGAAAGTGTGCTCAAAACTCGACATGCCAAGTATGCCAAAACCTGATTGAATCCTTGCTCCAATGCATCTTCTATTGCCCTCATGCCAATGCAGCGTGGAATGCTATCTTCCCTTCCCTCCCCTTACCTCCCCAGGGGACTTCCTTCTTGGACTGGTTCTGCTCCCTTAAAGATGCAATTTCGCCAAGCTCCTTGATCCAGATTGTCTTTCTTTGCTGGAATATTTGGAAGGCGAGAAATGAATGTTGTTTCAAGAATACTGCCCTGTGGCCCCCGAATGTGTGTATGCAAGCCTATAAAGAGCTCTTGGAATGGAGTTCTTTTCCGAGGCCCCCCACTCACATGCCACCCTCGTATACCCAGCTCAGGGGATCCCATTCTCAGACAAATCCACCGCCAAGTAATCATCCTTTGGTGATTCACTGTGATGGGTCGTTCATAAGCGACTCCTAGCCGGCGGCATATGGTGTTGTGGTTGTTAACCACCATGGACAAGTTTGTGATGGGCGAGCTGAGACTCTTCTTTGTTCCACCCAGATTGAAGCAGAAGCGAAGGCTCTTCTAGAAGTAGTTAAATTAGCACAAGAATATGGTTCTGAATGTCTGGTCCAGTCCGACTGCCAAGTGCTAGTGAGAGCGTTGTCTCAAAATCAAGCAAAATTGGCCATGGCGGTGTGCGGCCTGGATTGGCTCTATTGTCACGATTCTCAGGGCAAACGCATTCATCAAGGTTAAGGAGGTGTCAACATCTCTTAATGTCAGAGCTGATTGGGTTGTGCGTTCGAAGGCGAGAGAGTCACTTCCTGACGACTGGATTAATATTCTTGATCTAATTTCTTTTCTTCTTTAAGAATGTAACCTGTTTCCGGTTTCTTTCCATTGGTGGAATAAAAGTTGATTAATCTTGTAAAAAAAAATAATAGTACTCTACTAAATAGTGGATTTGTTGCTGCCTGTTACTCCACTTCATTCCATGCCATTGATCTTGACCTTGATTGCGCTTGTGAGCAAATGAAAGGCGGAGGAAGTAAGACAGGAAACACGTGCTTGCTTTGCTTTGCTTTGCTTTGCTTGTTTGTTTTCACTTCACGGGCAAGAACCCAAGCCCAAGCCATTGATTTGAACCCAACCCAAACCCAAGTACCAACCTCATCAGCAGAGCTCAGCTTCACGCGCCGCAACCAGCAGCCACCTAATCATATTATAATAATATTAATAGTGGGTTAAAATACCTCTGCTCCTCCTACTCAGCCACCAAAATCCACCTGTAAATTAAAAATAAGAATAAACCAGAAAATGTCAAACTCTTCAATTTATTTTATGTTCATTTTTTTAATTTTGGTTCTTCTTTCTTGTACGCTGCTTCCTTCCTGCCCACTTTGCAGGTCCGTGAATAAACAACACACATTGATACAGTACACCCAGCTCAGCTAGCCAGCTACCCAGCAGGTTATAATTGGAAAATATTGTCATTATGATTATGTATTAAACAAAACCAAGTGGATAACACTACTATTAGTACTACTCAATCTACTAATAAACTACTCGTTTTTTGCTTTACCTTTTCGCGAGAATGATTAGTTGAATTGCCTTCTACCTCTTAAAGTTAACTCAAAATCAGCCTAAAACGTCCCAAATCAATCCATTGCAATATCAAACAGTAGCCTTTCAATAGGTTGTATTATTTACAAAATTTTCAAAGCCATGTAATTGTACAGCTAAGATGATACTCAGTGGTGATTCAATGATGGTAATTTAAACTGAATCCACATTTTTCGGACTTTCAGTAAAGGATTGGATTCACCACAACCTTCGTTAGCACGACGCTGGCCTTCTTTTTGGCTTACCTGTTGATCTCGTTGGCGGACAAGAAATGATCGGCTCTTTGTAGACAAGATCGAGTCAGTTGAAGTCTTTCTACAGAGGGTCCATGCCCTGGATTAACATAGTGCAGCAGACTATGGACAGGGAAGGGATAGTCTCATTCACACAACTACCCGACCTACCACAACGGAGGTGATGATCTCATGACAGTCGCCATCTCCCGAGTGGGTCTCTCTCAATTCTGACGGCTAAGTTCACCACGATTCAAGCCATGCTGCTGCTGGTGACCTGATCAGAGATCATACAGGACGATGACTTAGCGGCGTTCGGTATTAACCTCGGTGTCTCCTCGATTACCCGAGATGAATTGGGAGGCACAGTAGAAGGGCTTCAGGTGGCTTGGGTCTTGGGTTATCGATGTGTTCACGTCCAACTAGAGTCTCAGTGTGCAGTTCGTCTTCTTTCGCATGCGGAGGTCATGGACCACCGCCACACAACAGTGATCTAGGAGCTGCAGTTTTCGGGAGTGGGAAGTCTCGATTAGTCATATCTATCAAGAGGGTACCAATTGTGCTAATTTTCTAGCTAATCGAGGGCATAGTCTACAGTTTGGTTTTCATAACGTTATTGTTGATGATCTTGTATTGCCTACCGGCTGTTGCATTAAAACGAATCAACTGAAGAATCAACCCGTTGATTGAAACCCTTACAAATTAGTGAATTATGTTACTCTATCTTCAAGTCATCGACATTAAGGGGTCGTTTGGAGAATATGAGTTTAAATCTATAGATTGTAAACAATCTAAAGATTCTATCTCTTCGGATTGTTGAAAATAGATTTTAAAATGTTTATTGTTTGGTAACTGTGATTGTTAACATTCAATGGTAATAAAAATAAAAAATTTATATTAATAACATGTTTATCCTTAATGAAAAATTAGAGTAGTTCGAGAAATATTAAAAACTTTGTTAGTAAATATATTTAATATGATAAATAAATAAAAGAAAGAGAAAAGGTAGGAGAAAAAAAATCTCATGAATCAAGATATAGAATCTCTCTGATTATGAGAGATTTGATATCCATAGATTTTAGAGATTTGAAATCTCTAAAGCTAAAATCCACAATACAAAAAGCAACAAAAAAACATAGCTTTCTACAAAATCTACAAATTTAATGAATCCACGGCCTAAATCCCATTCTCCAAACGACCCCTAAATTACAATAATCACGTAAATATCTCTCTCTCTCTGTATTTTGTACCCACGCATGCAGGGTAAAAAATAAGTATCCTTCCTCTCCAAATATCCGGCATGAAATCTGAAACCATGGGCCATAGATAGGCCCAAATGTGTTTTTGTATTCGCAGCCCCACGTGTCTGTACTGATTATTTCGCCTTTAACGACAGCATTTTCAGAAGGAAAACGACAAAATGGGCACCGTCCTGTTCTGTGCTGTCAGCTGTTTAGTAGGTAGTGGCTTCATTATCCGACGCCGTCCCTCTTGTTTTCTCTTTCTCTCTCAGAGTATCCAATGACCAAAAGTGGGCTGTCCCACTTTTTCACCACGCAAATAAATATAAATAATAAACCACTCTTTTTTTTTCTTCTGCCACAAAATCTTTGTACTAAATCTCCATATATATACTCAGGTGGTTAAAAAGGGTACTGTTCAGTAGTTGGTTTCACACCCACACGTGGTGAAATTAATATATACAAAATTCACCCTTGCAGTCGTAATAGAAAATACTACAGGCTAATAAATTATATGTTTGATCATTCAAATTAGATAAAAATTTTCACGTTGAAACCCGAATCATTTTTCTTTTTTATTCGTCACTAACTATACTAATCGTTTCACCGTTAGTCACCGGTTGTCAGTCTCCATCAGACTCCGTTAACTCTATCAGTTTTTTTGATGACGTGGCAAATGAGACGGTTGACTAAACCGTTAACTCAATGACATATCCTATGCCATACGACTTTACCAGGGAGTCTATATACACAAAGTGAAGCGAAGTACTCCCCGAGCAAAACATTGGAATCAAAATCTACTAAATTAGTCTATCTTTATGCGTTCTTCTACATTCTAGATCTTATTGTTCCTTCATTTTATTTTACGACAATAATTCGATAAACGAGACAATAATTCGATAAACGAGATTACGTAGGAGATATATACATCACTATTTTTTTTTTTCTCGAAACCTTTCACATGCTTCGCACTTAAATCTAGAATGTATATCTAATGACTCTTTAGAGTTGGTAATGCTATTAAAATTTTCAGTCAGAAGAAGGAAGCAAGCAATTGTAGATAGTAAAGTCAAAGTTAACCCATTGCACAATTTTACAGCTGGGGTTATATATTTAAGATGGTAATTAATAAGACTTGCACAGACCAGACCACACAAGTTGCACTGAGTGAGTTCTTCTTCCTTGGAACTTCCACCGGAGTAAATTAGAAGCAAGGGGGTTGAAACTGTTTTCAACTTTTCACTCTGCCAAATGAAAACTGCTGCTACGAGAAATTATTCATGGCAATTTGGCCGGTGATTATTTATGGCAAGTTGGCTGGAGTAATTGGTATTCGAATCCCAATCTCCAAACCAAACCCCTCTCTTTTTTCGATTTTCTCCTTCCCTTAACCTTATCTTTGGAATTCTAAGTTAGAAATTTGCATATTAAAGTTTATATTTGTGTGTTTGAATCTTCCTTATTTGTTGAATCCTAGCACAGACTGTTATTTTTGTGTAATGTTATATGTTATTATCCATACATTGGATAATATTTGGTATAATTTATAAATATATGAACAATATAATGACATTTTCCATATATCGAGACTAAAACGATCGGATCACTAATCTTCAACCCACTTGTTAGACCGCCTAGCGTTCGAACACCCTCGTTCGAACTTTGTTTAACGGACTATGAACTGTTTTTAATTTAACCGGTGCTCAAAAATTCAAGGTGCAATTAATTCTATTCAACGCAAAATTTTTGTTCGGAAAACAAGTATATATTCGTAACTTCTCAAATTATAATATACTAAAAAAAATTTGCATAACAAATTTGCTCACTAGTGTAAGGTGGACCTCATAATCTGTTCCATGCATGTATTTATTTGCGTGAATGGTGTACTGATCGATGTAAATCACGGATAGCTATATATATACTTCCTCAAATACTTAGTTGTAGTTTAATTGTCAAAATAAATTCTCAAGTGACTTGTAAAAATTTGTTTATATTGAACAGAAGTAGTCTCTTGCTCAGCTGTTCTAAAGCTGCGAAGGGCACATAAACACCAAACTTCTCTGTCAGTACTACATTGATATGTGGTTTCTTTTTTTTTTTTCTAGAGTTTAGTCCTGGATTCATTTATAAAAAAAGTTTTGACAGCTTAGATTCCTTTCCTTGGATTTGAAATGAATGTATGAGATGCACTCCACCATATCGATATCATATTCATTCATATATATGCAAGGATCCTTCAACAAAATTAATAAAGATGTCAATTTATTTTATTTGTGGCACTCGTTCCCATTCCTCACACTGTTGATGAAATTGACGCAACAAAGCAGGGAAACCAAACTGCTTACCTTCAAAGACAACCCAATTATGCGACTTCCAAATTCGCCAAAGCACAGCCACCACAGCCATGATCATGGGAGGGTGGTGGATTAAGGCAAACAGCCGTTTGAGAAACAGGGGAAAAGTATGGCGAGGCAAGTCTTGGCCAAGATGTTCTAGCCCTGAATAGTCCCATAAAGCCCGAGCCACTGGACACTCCAGGAATAAATGTTCCATAGTTTCCGATGCTTCCCAACAAACCGGACCACGCGGAAGGACAGGAACACTTTTCTCAATGAGGCCCTCCGTAGTAGGGAGGATACAATGAAAAATTTGTCACACGAACACCTTCAACTTAGGGGGAATGTCAGCCTTCCATAGCCAAATCCAACTGGCCCTATCCATCCAACTAGCCGTAGCCCTCCAACAACCATTCCTTTTGGACATATCAACGGCTAAATGATATGCGGTTTTGACAGTAAACACGCCATCCGACGTGCAATGCCAGATAAGT